GAGTACCGGTCAAGCCGGTGCTAGGGACCGTGAGGAATGTTGCACTTTTTCGTTATCCCTCATGTACATACTCAATCAAATCGTGTCTGCAATTTTCATGTTATTTTGTTGTGATTAATGCTTCCGAGGGATCACACTTTTTCCAGATTTTTTTACTTAAATTACTACGGTACATTTAGAAACATATGCAATTTTTTAACTGTTTTTGATTCTTCACACAGTGACTATACAGTTAAAATATTCTTCAAGGAATAATTGACCATTTTTAAATTTGTTTTTATTTTCAAGAATTGCCGGCCCTATACGTCAATGATGAAGATGATTCGATGTCCGGAATTCTCAGTGTTTACCGTCGATCAGCATTACATACTAGGTAATGAGAAAAAAAATCTATCGTTTTAAATGAATGTATTAATGTAGATTTAATTGTAAAAAATTCTGTATTATAAAGACGTTTTGTTCTTTTCTGGTGTATAAAATATTATGTAAAAACATACGTATGGTTGTGTTTTGCTATCTTCTCAAATAAAATCAAAGGCATGCCTATCGCTAATTTCTAATCAAGCATTGCTATGATACATATAAATCATTCTTCTATATGTTCATCTGTTTTACATGTCATAAGCAATCTTTAAAGGTATGTTTAGGTATGTTATGCCTGAAAAAGAATATATTTTTCTTTTTTTCTTATCACATGAGTTAAGTAAACGTGTCATCTACGGATTTAAAGTATATAAGATTATTATCACTGGAAGTAGGTAGTTATACGCAGTATAACTGTTTTAATTACCAAAATAAAAAAAGCTAAAAAATATGTAAAAAATATATGGCCAATTTGTATGTAATATTGCAATGTATGAAGTGAAAGTAATACAATTTTATTTGTTTTTAGCAGCCATGTGACAGAGTTGGATAACAAGAGAGTTTTAAAGGAGAAATCTTCTCAAATAAAATCAAAGGTACGCACTTTTAACCTATCGCTAATTTAGAATCAAGCATTTCTATGATATAAATAAAACATTAATTTATTTGAAAACTCAAGAGAAACCCTGACTGTTAAAACTGTTTTAGTGTTTAATATATATCAATTAAATTAATCGGACATGATTTTATTATGAACTTAAATCCCCACTATTTTAGCGTACTGTAAAGATTAAGAAATCATCTTTTAAAACGTATATTTTATATAGTAAGACTGAATGTGGAAAGTGATCTATATAAGAAATGAGCCGCCTCATGACAAAACCAACATAATGCGTTTGCGATCAGCATGGACCCGGACCAGCCTGCGGTTACGCGCAGTCTGGTCAGGATCCATGCTGTTCGCTTTCCAACCCTATTACAAGTAGAGGAACTGATAGCAAACAGCATGGGATCCTGGTTAGAAAGCGCGGATGTGCAGGCTGGTCTGGATCATGTTTGTCGCAAACGCACTATGTTTGTTTTGTCGAGACGCGGCTCAAATATAAAAAATATGCCAGAGTTACAATAATAAAGTCAGAATTATCAAAAATAGAAGTAAATCATAACTTTGACAAATCTGCTCTGTCGATTTTCTTTATTATCTAAGGCTGTCATAACAATAAATGTATATTTATAAATTTTGTTTTCTATAATTTCGATTTTTAATTTCAAATTTAATTCACAATGAAAATGTATCTTCATTGAAGAAATCAAAGCAATTTCATTTTTTATACAGATCTCTAAAAAGTCATCTTATAATAAAAATTATGATGGGACATTACTTAATAACGTTTTTTTTTTTATATACACGTGTCTCGTAGTTGATGCACAGAACAGAGGAACGGCACGTGATCTTCTGAATCACGCGTTTTTAAATGGTGACCAAATACTTGTTACAGCAAGATTAGCTCAGAAAAATGAATTTTCATCTCATTAGATATTTAATTATTTTGTTAAATGATAAGCATCAATTTTACATTAGTGTTTTTTATGAATAATTTAGGTATACTGAAATATACGCCTTTAATTTACAAATTGTGTTTTCTTTATTATTTATCTATCACATAGATCTAGAACCTAAATGGTCAGACATGAGCTTTGTACGTCCATTTATGATTAATAAATACGGGCAGAACCACCCTTTCGTACACAATAAGTCCGAACTCTAGAAATTTCACAAGTTAAGTTTTATAAAACATGTAAATCAAATATTTTTATGTAAACCTCAAAGCACCATGCCTCTAGATTCATGCTTATTTTCATTAAGAATTTAAAATATATTTAAAAGTAAATTATTTTGTAATGAACAAAGAGTGAAGATGTAATTTACATATTGCAAACGGCACTTTCTATTCACGTAACATTGTAAAATCATGACAGGGTAACATGATACCCAAAGAAACAGTAATTTTCATATGATATAAATATCAGAAAGTGTTAAATGAAAGAAGAATTGAATTAAGAAATGTTGAGGACAATATTATAGTAATCAAGAAACATGGACAGAGGCGGTAAAATAGGTAAATTAATTATTTGATTTTTAAAAAATGTATGTTTGTTTCTAAATGTTTACTGTTTTATAACAGAGTTCGGGTAACTTTAGAATTTCGACTTAATGTCTAATAATATGATATAATTTCAAAATAAAAAACAGTAATTAAACTAAAATGAACATTGTTTATCAATTATAATTTTCTAATTCCCAAAATGAAAGTAGGAAAATAATAAGATGTATTTTTTATATTACGAGAATGGTAAAATATATACTGTGTGACAACTTGTACTGTAAAGTTCACTGGCAAGATTGCTGTTCAGTACATGCATTATTACTGTTCAGTACATACATGATTGCTGTTCAGTACATGCATGATAACTGTTCAGTACATGCATGATTACTGTTCAGTACATGCATGATTACTGTTCAGTACATGCATGATTACTGTTCAGTACATACATGATTGCTGTTCAGTGCATGCATGATTACTGTTCAGTGCATGCATGATTGCTGTTCAGTACATGCATGATTACTGTTCAGTACATGCATGATTAATATTCAGTTCATGCATGATTACTATTCAGTACAAACAAGATTGCTGTTCAGTACATGCTAGATTGCTGTTCAGTACATGCATGATTACTGTTCAGGACATGCATGATTACTATTCAGTACATGCATGATTACTGTTCAGTACATACATGATTACTATTCAGTACATACATGATTGCTGTTCAGTACATGCAAGATTGCTGTTCAGTACATGCATTATTACTGTTCAGTACATACATGATTGCTGTTCAGTACATGCATGATTACTATTCAGTACATGCATGATTACTATTCAGTACATACATGATTGCTGTTCAGTACATGCATTATTTCTGTTCAGTACATACATGATTGCTGTTAAGTACATACATGATTACTTTTCAGTGCATGTATGATTACTGTTCAGTACATGCATAATTACTATTCAGTACATGCATGATTATTATTCTGTACATACATGATTGCTGTTCAGTACATGCATGATTACTGTTCAGGACATGTATGATTACTACCCAGTACATGCATGATTACTATTCAGTACATACAAGATAGCTGTTTAATATACACATGATGACTATTAAGTTCATACATGATTGCTGTTTAGTATATGCATGATTACTGTTTAGTACATGCAGATTACTGTTTAATGTACACATGATTTCTGTTTAGTACATGCATGATTACTGTTTATTTTATGCACGAATACTATCTGGTACATACATGTTTGCTGTAATGTATATACATGAATTAGTACATGCATGATTACTGTTCAGTACATACATGATTATTGTTCAGTAAATGCATTTTTATTGTTTAGTACATACAGCATTACTGTTTAATATACACATGATTACTGTTTAGTACATGCATGATTACTGTTTATTATATGCATTAATACTATCTGGTACAGACATGTTTGCTGTTTAGTATATACATGAATAAGTACATGCATGATTACTGTTCAGTACATACATGATTACTGTTCAGTACATGCATGATTACTGTTCAGTAAATGCATGATTACTGTTCAGGACATGCATGATTACTATTCAGTACATACATGATTGCTGTACAATATACACATGATTACTATTAAGTTCATACATGATTGCTGTTAAGTATATGCATGATAACTGTTTAGTACATGCATGATTTCTGTTTAGCATATGCATGATTTCTATTCAGTACATACATGATAACTGTTTAATATACACATGATTACTGTTTAGTACATGCATGGTTACTGTTTATTATATGCATGAATACTATCCGGTACATACATGTTTGCTGTTTAGTATATACATGAATTAGTACATGCATGATTGCTGTTTTAGTACATACACGATAATGTACATGCATGATTTCTGTTTAGTACATGCATGAATGCTGTTTAGTACATACATGATTACTAATTAGTACATACATAATTGCCGTTTAGTACATGCATGGTTTCTTTTAAGTACATGCATGATTACTGTTAAGTACATATACATGATTACTGTTCAGTTACATGATTGCTGTTACATGCATGATTACATACATGATTGCCGTCTATGTGCTGTTAATACTTGCATGATTAACTGTTAGTACATACAGTAGAATTCCTTTACATGACTGTTTGATGTATTGATATGTTAAATACAAACTGTTTATATTCATGAATAACAACGGTCACATGTATTTTCAAAAATGAATTTTACAGAAAATATGTTTATCACTACTAAGCTGATTGTTTAGAAGCATATGCTTTGTCTGTCATTTAATATTTTGTATGATGTTTTGTAAGTACACATGATTATAATTAGTAAACAGAACATATAAAGAAGCCCTATCATTGAACAAGTACTTTAGGTAGACACTTACATTGATAGCACTTACATTATAAGAAATGGTCCCTAATCCTACCTTAAAATTGAGTTTTCATGCTAAAGAGGTGACTTTCCTAGCAGAATGAAATGCCTGACACATAAAAATGTATTAGTATAAATTATCAGTTACTGGTCAACAATAAGAAATCGACGATCATTCTCATTTTAACACATTTTGATCAAAGTCATTTGTCCTGTGTTATAATACAGTGAATAATTAGCAACTAGTATGTTAGAACGAAACGGTTTGAGAACGAAATCAAATTGACGTCTATGACGTCAGACATCTATGATGTCACTGACGTTATCGCCATTCATTAGAAACGACGTTTGCGCTAAATGCAACAGTATATTCTTGATCACATTAAGAGTGTTTTATGGATGAAGAATTAAATTTAGAGATGTTAAAACGCGACATTCTAGTTATATAGGAACATGGACAGAGGCGGTAAAATAGGTAAATTAACAGACAGTATTTGTTTGTTTGTTTTAGTTGATATGGAATATACCTCACCAAGAAATTTGTTAGAAAATTTAGATATTTTAATATGCGCGAAATTTTGCTTTTCCAATGTATGGAACTAGAAATAAGACCGCATGATATAATTTGTATTTCATCAATATATCTATGTATCTCATCGAAAAGCTTACGATACTGAACTTTTTACTTAGGGGGCAGGGGACCTAAAAATGAACAATTTTGTATTTCAGTGTGGCCAGAAACACAATTCCAAATATTTCAAAATCTGTTTCACTGGCAGATAACCAGTTGCACAGCATTATTCAATGATATATGATATACATTGAAGAAAATAATAGTTTGCATGCATTGCTCCTTAAAAAATGACTGACAGCAATTTATATTTACCCCCACCCAGCCAAAATTACACCTAAATATACCAATATGGGCAATCTTTATGAAGGTGCAGCATATTCCATAATCCGCCCGATTCCTTAAAAAATATCACTTACACGCAGTGCAAGCTATTACATTTTCATAAATGCCCAATAAAGTGTCTGTCATACGTTTAGATTTTTCACAAAATTTATCCGAAATTTCTTACTTGTTTGGCGCCAACTGTCAAAGCTTGATTTTTAACTTTTTCACCTCCATTCGGAGAGTCACAAATATATACAAAGCTACCAAAATGCTTAGTTTCGGGTAAAAAATCCAAAAATACTGGTCATTTCCTACATACAAACAAGAAAGAATTACAATGACAGAGAAATATCAGAAGTTTCCACTACCTTCAAAACACCATGTCTGAGTTATTAAAAAGTTTGACCGGGGCCATCATTCGAAAATGTCCCCTGCCCCCCCCTAGGAAAGACTATGTTATTTGCGTTACTTAAATAGAAATACCTATTTTGTTGTGGGTTTTAAATGCCAGAAAAGCTATTTTTCATCAGAAATACGAGTTTAAACTGCTGCAAATCAATATGAATAAATTTGAACAATGACTGTTAGCTACAGGGTTCGGTGGGTAAAAGGATGCAATTTATGACTGACATGTTTCTTCACTAGCTTCGACTCATGCTGTCGAGGGATCACACTTTTTCTAGATTTTCATACTGCACAACATAGGGGGTTAAGTATCGTGTAGCTGTTAAATGTTGCCCTGTTCTTCACTTCAGTGTTGTTATATATTTCTTGTCATTCGGGATCATTGATTCCAGTTGAAAGTGAGTACCGCTCAAGCCGGTGCTAGGGACCGGGAGGAATGTTGCACTTTTTCGTTATCCCTCATGTACATACTCAATCAAATCGTGTCTGCAATTTTCATGTTATTTTGTTGTGATTAATGCTTCCGAGGGATCACACTTTTTCCAGATTTTTTTTACTTGAATTACTACGTACATTAAATAACATATGCACATTTTACTGTTTTGATTCTTCACGTGACTATACAGTAAAAATATTCTTCAAGGAATAATTGACCATTTTTAAATTTGTTTTATTTTCAGAATTACCGGTCCTATACTTCAATGATGAAGATGATTCGATGTTCGGAATTCTCAGTGTTTACCGTCGATCAACTTTGCATACTAGGTAATGAGAAAAAAATCTATCGTTTTAATGAATGTAATTAATGTAGATTTAATTGTAAATAATTCTGTATTATAAAGACGTTTTGTTCTTTTCTGGTGTATAAAATATTGTATAAAAACATACGTATGGTTGTGTTTTGCTATCTTCTCAAATAAAATCAAAGGCATGCCTATCGCTAATTTCTAATCAAGCATTGCTATGATACATATAAATCATTCTTCTATATGTTCATCTGTTTTACATGTCATAAGCAATCTTTAAAGGTATGTTATGCCTGAAAAATGAATATATTTTTCTTTCTTTCTTAAAACATGAGTTAAGTAACGTGTCATCTACGGATTTAAAGTATATAAGATTATTATCACTGGAAGTAGGTAGTTATACCAGTATAACTGTTTTAATTACCAAAATAAAAAAAGCTAAAAAAATATGTAAAAAATATATGGCCAATTTGTATGTAATATGCAATGTATGAAGTGAAGTAATACAATTTTATTTGTTTTTAGCCATGTGACAGAGTTGGATAACAAGAGAGTTTTAAAGGAGAAATCTTCTCAAATAAAATCAAAGGTACGCACCTTTAACCTATCGCTAATTTCTAATCAAGCATTTCTATGATATAAATAAAAACATTTATTTAATTTGAAAACTCAAGAGAAACCCTGACTGTTAAAACTGTTTACTGTTTAATATATATTAATTAATTAATCGGGCATGATTATTATTATGAACTTAAATCCCCACTATTTTAGCGTACTGTAAAGATTATGAATCATCTTTTAAAACGTAAAATTTATATAGTAAGACTGAATGTGGAAAGTAGATCTATATAAGAAATGAGCCGCGTCATGACAAAAACCAACATAATGCGTTTGCGATCAGCATGGACCCAGACCAGCCTGCGCTTACGCGCAGTCTGATTAGGATCCACGCTGTTCGCTTTCCAACCCTATTACAAGTAGATGAACTGATAGCAAACAGCATGGATCCTGGTCAGACTGCGCGGATGTGCAGGCTGGTCTGGATCCATGCTGGTCGCAAACGCACTATGTTGGTTTTGTCGAGACGCGGCTCAAATATAAAAAATATGCCAGAGTAAAAATAATAAAATCAAGAATTATCAAAAATATAAGTAAATCATACTTTGAATCTCTCTGTCGATTTTCTTTATTATCAAGGCTGTCATACAATAATTGTATATTTATAAATTTTGTTTTCTATAGATTTCGATTCAATTTCAATTTATTCACAATGAAAATGTATCTTCATAAGAAATCAAAGCATTTCATTTTTATACAGATCTCATAAAAGTCATTTATAATAAATTATCATGATCGGACATATTTTGAAGGTTTAATGTCTGACATATTTCTATCTGTTATCTTTACTTTTATTTAAACGTTTTAGGAACACATTTATTGATTTATGCAACATTATTTTGGAAACAAGTTTAAAAGTATTATATCATTTTAGGATGTGTCGACCCCTGAATCTAAGAAATCAAAGTCACGTGATCAGCCAAAAGCTGTCGACATGTTGTATCATAAAATGTTAAGTAAGTAAATGATACATTTTCTTACAATGTAGTGTAGATAAATGTATAAAGAAAAGATATTTGCTATTTACTAACGGAGAAATAATAAAAAAAACACCACATGTTTTTAATGTAGCATTTTACAATTTATATTAAAGCTGTGTTTTATAGATACCGTATTCTAAATTACTCATTTTGAATGTTATTGAAAATAAACATATAAAACATCCTTTGGAGTAAACAAACTATACATTTATCTTGAGGAATATTTAGATGTAGCTTAAATAAAATGTTGTTTGTATGTTTGTTTTTGTTTATTTTGTAATGTTTCATTTGGAATTGTAATGTTTTATTATCATTGCTTGTTAGGAAATTTGTCAAATGGTGATGATCCAAAACAAAACATTCTACCACATGTTTTTAATGTAGCATTTTACAATTTATATTAAAGCTGTGTTTTATAGATACCGTATTCTAAATTACTCATTTTGAATGTTATTGAAAATAAACATATAAAACATCCTTTCCAGTAAACAAACTATACATTTATCTTGAGGAATATTTAGATGTAGCTTAATTAAAATGTTGTTTGTATGTTTGTTTTTGTTTATTTTGTAATGTTTCATTGGCGTGAATGAGATCAGATTTTGTGAAAGGGCGACAGCAACTTCTCGAGCCTTTTAGTCGGTCATAATAAAAGCCGAAAATTCCGATCGGTATGAGGGTGCTTGATTATTAAATAAGAATGAAATGTCGCGATATGTTACAATGAATTTTCGCAATGCAAACATTTACAAATGAAATAACCTTTTCCGTCAATAAATCGCGCTCTTCGGGGTTTTTTTATTTATCATTTTGTAGTACACAGTCGGTTATCATGTCATGGTATGTTATTGTTGTACATGTATCCTAGAATGATCAGTTGATGACCTAAATATTCCAAAAACCTATTTATAGATATATCTTTTTATCACTCCTATCGGTAAATGCCGGTCTCTCCCGGTCTATTTTGACCAGGATTTACTAGTGACCGGCGAATAGTACCACACGTTTATTGGCCGGTCTCTCCCGATTTTGGAGTAGATGTTTGATATCGTTACAATTAGAAAAAAACAACAATAGCATGTTTCATTTTATCTATATGAGATAAAAACAATAAATATGTACACGGATTTATATGTAATATAAATCCGTGATATGTACAATAATTGAGAAAAAGGTACATTTTTTATGGTATTAAAATGACATTATCAACTTTGAAACATTTTATTTAATTATTCAATTTGTTATCCGTGTTTAGTAAAGATGCGAGGAATTATTCAAAGTTACAAATTAGATTTTATGAATTATTCAAATGATCGATAATTTAAAAAATGATAAAGAAAAATACAATGTACATGTACATGGTTTAAGAATAAACAATATTATATATTGAAAGATAAACCATAATTTACTGACTTTTTTCCAGTTAAGCTTTGACTTATAATCGTCGGTCAATATGACAATTGAATTCTTAAAATTTATATTACAATTTTAATAAAAAAGAGTAGTAAAAACTCAGCATTAAAATAGCACATAAAACACAAAAAAGAATAAAAGAAAACAATATTCATAAAATTTGTATTTTTTTTAAATTAAAATTAATAGATATTACAATTATTGTATAATAAACAATTATGCTCAACATGATCAACATGGTAATATAACCAGTGTCATATTTTTACTAACTTAAAGTGTGTGAACAGATACCTTAAGGGGGTCTTCGCTAATAGCGATAACATGTACATAATAAGGGACAAATGTGTGGTACGTGTTGATCATGCGTTACACATATGGATTATAAATGATTGCATACATGTATATCCGTTGCTATTAATAACCACGATCATAAAGAAATAACAAGTAATATTCTAATCTCTAGCATGCCAATCAAAGTTCATAATGAACAATGTCTTTCGTCCGCTCATTCATAAGTGGTATACATTTCTGGTAGTTTATAAGAATATCTTGTCATCATATGTGTACTAGTTCATCTTCACTTGCTGCATTTCTTGCTTGGACGCCCTTTGATGCTTTGCATCAATGCTTTTCTTGTTTGAAATTGTAATGTTTTATTATCATTGCTTGTTAGGAAATTTGTCAAATGGTGATGATCCAAAACAAAGATATTCTCCAATAAAGCTTATCGATTCAGGGTAAGTACCGTCTTTATCATTTTTATGTATTTTTATAATAGCATGTATGTCGTTTCATTATTTCTGTTACTTTGATGTATTAAAGTGAAATGTAATATCAATGTCAAGGTCGAAAAGTTTGTGGGTGTGATATATCAAAGTGACGAACAGTTTGTCTGTCGTTGTGATATAATGTAAATGATGTTTCATTTGTTTGTTGATGTGATATATCAATGTAAATGACATGTAGTTTGCCTGTTGGTGGGATATATCAATGTAAATGACGTACAGCTTGTCTGTTTGTATGTTATATCAATGTGTAGGACTTACAGCTTGTCTGTTGGTGTAATATATCAACGTGTAGGACGTACATCTTGTCTGTTGGTTAAAGGACGTACAGCTTGTCTGTTTGTGTGATATATCAATGTGTAGGGCGTACAGCTTGTCTGTTGGTGTAATATATCAATTAAAGGACGTACAGCCTCTCTTTTGATGTGATATATCAATGCAAATATCATACAGCTTGTCTATTTGTGTAATATGTCAATTAAAGGACGTACATCCTCACTTTTGATGTGATAAATCAATGTAAATGTCACACAGCTTGTATGTTTGTGTGATATATCAATGTAAAAGGATGTTTAGCGTGTCTGTTGGTGTCAAGGATGTACAGATTGTCTATCTGTGTCATATATCAATTTAAAGCACGTTTAAAGTTTATATTATGATGTGATACTTCAACGTCAAGAATAGAGCATAGAGAATTGGTGCACATTTTGTTTGAGAAGGGTTTGTTGCTATAACGATAAACGTTCGCTCATATCTGATTCTTTTCTATATCTACAGAACTTTCGGACACGTGGTCTTAGCCAAAGCGAAGCTTAACGGGTGTATGGTTGCCATAAAAATCATGGAGGTAGAAAAACAGCCATTTACTGTGTTGGCTAACGAAGTAACCATAATGAAGAAGATTAACCATGAAAATGTTGTCACCGCTTTAGATGGAATTTATGTCGAAGCTGTAAAGAAATTCTGGCTTGTCATGGAATACGTGAATGGGTGTTCGCTAAAGAAGATTGTAAGAAATGTAGCGTTAGAAGAAGGACATATATGTTTCATATCTAGTCAATGTGTGAAAGGTTTGGACTATCTTCATAAAGAAAACATAGTTCATAGAGATATCAAAAGCAGCAATGTGTTAGTTGATATATATGGGAGAGTAAAGATAACGGATTTTGGTACCAGCTACTTCTATGAGAAGAATGCCAAGAAGAACGAAATAGTTGGTTCACCGTGCTTTATGGCACCGGAAGTTGTAGCTAGGTTGGTATCAATATTGCTTATAGTCTTGGGAGACATATAATTTATATGTAGTGTTCTTTTTATATGATGACCTGTGTTCGTTTCATCTCACTTAAATCAGACTGGATGTGTAATTACAAAACATTTAATCTATTGTTTAATAATACTTTATGGTAAATATCTTGTTTCAATGCCTTTAGAAATGTTGTTTCAATCGATATAAATATGTATAATGAATTATGGTATTCATAAGGAAAGATAAGTATCGAAAGGAAACCTTTTTTAGAACTTGTATTTACCACTAAGCATAGTAAAGTATGTGTTTCAATATGATCATGCAAACGTATGGCGACGAAAAAAGACTAGATCACTCGGATCACCTCGGGCGACTTCAATAAGTGTTTCTTACGGAGTTGTCGGAGAAAGCCGATTTGATACGATTGCATTTTGTTTTGAAGGGGAGTGAAAAACATTGCCAAAACATTACATTTGCTATATATTTGTTACAGTGTGTTACACTCTTTTATTTCAGGAGACCGTATGATTATAAGATAGATATATGGAGCTATGGTATAACACTAATAGAAATGATTGACGGAGATCCACCATATATACATGAGGAAGCAACACGTGCTATAAAACTTGTAAAAAGAAATGGTAGACCAACTATAAAGAAATATAACAAACTATCAGATGAACTGAAATCTTTTATAGACACGTGTCTCGTAGTTGATGCACACAACAGAGGAACGGCACGTGATCTTCTGAATCACGCGTTTTTAAATGGTGACCAAATACTTGTTACAGCAAGATTAGCTCAGAAAAATGAATTTTCATCTCATTAGATATTTAATTATTTTGTTAAATGATAAGCATCAATTTTACATTAGTGTTTTTTCATGAATAATTTAGGTATACTGAAATATACGCCTTTAATTTACAAATTGTGTTTTCTTCATTATTTATCTATCACATAGATCTAGAACCTAAATGGTCAGATATGAGCTTTGTACGTCCATTTATGATTAATAAATGCGGGCATAACCACCCTTTCGTACACAATAAGTCCGAGCTCTAGAAATTTCACAAGTTAAGTTTTATAAAACATGTAAATCAAATATTTTCATGTAAACCTCAAAGCACCATGCCTCTAGATTCATGCTTATTTTCATTAAGAATTTAAAATGTATTTAAAAGTAAATTATTTTGTAATAGACAAAGAGTGAAGATGTAATTTACATATTGCAAACGGCACTTTCTATTCACGTAACATTGTAAAATCATGTATTTCAGTATACCTAGATTATTCACAATAAGCACTGATGTAAAACTGTTGCTTATCAAAGACAAAATAATACCTTATTATTTTGTCTTTGATAAGCATCAGTTTTACATCAGTGATTTTTGGGAATAATCTAGGTATACTGAAATACATGCCTTTAATTTGCAGCTTGTTTTCTTCATTAATTATCTTTCACATAGATCTAAAACCTAAATGATTGTACGTTCATTTATAATGAATACAGGTAAAATCACTCTTTTACAATACGTCCGAACTCCAGACCTTTCACAAGTTATGTGTAATGATAAATAAAGTATCGTTTTTATGTCAATCTTAAAGCACAATGTTAAATAAGTCAGATAGATATCTGCTATTTTTTATAAATGAAAACAAAGATGAAAATGTAATTAAAAGTAAAATATTTTGATATGAACAAAGAAAGTAATTTACACATTGCAAACGGTTCTTTCAATCCACGTAAATTACCAAATATATGGCAAAATATGCAGAAATATGCGTGTGTTAGTCACGTAGTCGTAATATGGCCATACGTACTGCAAATTCAATTATCTAATTATTGCATGAAACATGTAAATTAAGACTTAAATTGCAAACATGTTTTTAATACTTTTCTAAAATCTGAGTACGTCTTTCCTAAGATTGATATTCTCGAAATGTTTCGGCTAATCTGGAGGTATGCAGTTTTAAACGTATGACCTTAATATTGTATTTCAAATCTACCAATCCCTTCTAAACCCTTTCCATCACCTGGACATGGTAAATTAGCCATGGTTTTACCTTCTGTCTGTCCATGTTCTACCGGGATAATGTGGTGGTTTTTGTTTTGGCGCCAAAATAGCGGGAGGGAGGAGAGAGAGATAGCTTTCTGGGATTTTAATATTATAAAAAAGTGTTCTGATTTCATTGACAGAGACATGATGCTTTAAAAACTACTATCAAACAAGATCGACAGCAAAATATTGTCACAATAGGGACTACGATGGGATACCAGGCCGACCACAATTGCTATCTAAAACAACCAACAAACTCAGAACAGAAAATATATACAAATTTATTTACAGAAATGAATATTTATAAATGAAAAATGATTATATATGAAAAGTCACTGCGCACACAAACACTATCAACGTATCTCAGTCTATTTCTCCCGTAAAGTTTCTGTCATGATGTTTCAATAAAGTGGTGGCGTGGTTGAACAAAATTCGTCACAATGGCGGGCGTCTTGTATAAAATCTTATCAAGCGTAACTGTACTTCCTACAGTGTTGGCACAGTTGATAGGATCCTGAAAAAGGGCATGCGTCACCCTTTAGCCATGGACATACGTGTGGAGGGCCCGTGTCATCTTCGGGTGTGTCCTCAAATAAGAAGCTACAAAGTTATAAACATGGTAAGTTTCCATGATAATCAAACATAAGGGTATAATAAAGTCCCTTGGAAAAGACTCGACCTTTGTCGGTTTCCAATAAAATAACGTGCTTCTTTTTGAATAAACAAAAATGTCCACTATAGTACACCATACATTCCGTGGAACAAAAATTCAATCACATCCGCATAATACTGCGTTGCAAATATATTCAAATATACGCCACATAATAACCACCAATAAATAAACGTCTTCCAAAATCATGCCACTGAAGATCCTTCTCTAGAGATACGTTGTATTAACTTATAACAAAAACTGATGATAAATGAAATGAAGTAAGATGATAACGTAAATTAAATTGATTAAAACAAATCATTACGATACTGCAGCATTTTACATAAAGTTACACAAATACGGTAGAACCATAATAAATTATTTATGAATAGATATATATATCTATAATATATTCATGGCTCCTATACAATTACAAAACAATTAAAACTTCAATTAAAATACAACAATTAACATGTCTCGGTATAAATTTGTAATAGCGAAACACTAGAATAAAAAGAGCTTTTAAAATTTAATCTGCAAAAATTTAGAAAATTTAGAAAAAAATAAATTACTGCCTAATAACTAAACCTGAATCAAATAAACTATAATTCTAATAGAAAATAGTATTTTACGAAATAGCAAAAATTTATGAAACAAAATCACTAGAAAATTATATTTACCTTGTACAAGCTGTAATTTTATGACAAATATAATTTGTCTGTCACCGTCATAGTGACCTGTATAACGTCCAGTGCATTGCAATATATCACTTAAAATTTAGTCATTATATTGCAAACTACTGAGTACTGAGCGGGAAAACAGATCGTGCAAAACATGAAAAAATCGATTAGCACGAAAAAAAAAGCTGGGACGGCGGGAAAAATAGTTATGTAAAATAAAGGCCCGTCCTTCAAATACAGACATAATACATATATCTGGTTCATAAAACAAAAATGTAACTTTCTTATTACTCTTTCTTATTACTGAAAGGATTTTTGTGAAATAAACGGCAAGATGTTTAAATTGAGACATGGAAATTTATGCAAACCATAAAAATACTCTAAATAATAATTTCACCCGAAAACTCTAAATTGAACAAAAGATGATGCAATCTCACATCAATGAATATAGAGTAAAAATGAGGTTCGGCGTGAAAATATAATGCAAGATTTTACAAACGTACTTTCACTTTGTGACAAATATACAACTCGATAAAAAATACATTGTATATACAGTAGTTCTACTTCATGTGTACGCATAAATAACAGGCTCGCGGACTGGTTCATTTGCCCGAAAGGAGTTAAGCAGGTATGTAATTTATCAGAGACACTATTCGCCATCTTCGCAAATGACCTTGTTCCGGAAATTAATGACCCTCACCTTGGAATTAAAATGAATGAAACATCATCAATCTCAATGCTACTTTATGCTGATGATATAGTTTTCATCAGTAACAACTCCGAAAATCTGCAGATCATGCTTAAATCCATGCATAACTGGTGCAAGCGGTGGATGGTGTTGATTAACTGTGAAAAGTCAAAGGTCATGTGCTTCCGGAAAAGGCGAACAAAGCAATGTGATCACATATTTAAAATAGGTGATAATTCTTTGGTTTAGAGACAGTAGACAGATATAAATACTTATAGGTGTTATTCTCTAAGATAAACATGACTTTACATATAACTGTGAAGCTTTATCAAAGAGTGCTCTTTGTGGAATTATGTCAAAGATACATTATTTCAAAAACTGTGGATTTAAAACATTTCAGAAACTACTAGTATACAATTCCTGCGTGATGCCAATTTTGGACTATCATTCTTCCGTTTTGGGTTATAGAAACTTTCAATCGGCACACAAACACACAAAATCGGGTCATTCGTTATTTCTTGGGAGTTCATATATTTACTCCAAAACTTGCCCTGGCAGGTGAAACAGGTTGGTTACCGTGTAATTATACAGACGTTCCTGCCTATAACACTCGCGAGAGGGGTTGGCTGATAGATAGGTTGTGCATGGTCCCTTATTGGAATAGACTTGTGAAATTACCTAATAAGAGGATTACGAAACAGGCATTCAACTGTGACGATGAGAAAAGTAATACAAAGTAAAAAATATAATGACGAAATTAGACCTCAGTGATCATTTTGAAAATTACCCATCAATAAGGACGTACTGTGCCAATTCAAACATGATTCAATATCACGCAGAAATATGGACTACTGATTGTGGAAACGTACCAAAACTGAGAACTTACAAATTATTTAAGACATCCTTCACATGCGAAAATTATTAAATGTCCGTAAATGCATATATAACATGTCTTAATGTGAATTTACTATTATGTTAATAGCATGTTTAAAACTATAACACATGCTCAGATTATGATCTTTAGTTAAAGGTGACTTATAGGTCCTATGGGTCGGGTGTTCATCTTCGTGTATGTTTGTGTATGTATATACGTGTAACACATGTCACTATAATAAAGAATTTACTTACTTATTTACTTACTATTATACTAACCCACATGGACTTTTAAGTCCCGCCTTTTCCTGGGTTCCCGGGCTTTTAAAAACATGTAAAAAAAGCCCCAAACCCGGGGGAAACCCTTTGAAATATCACAACACGGATTTTAAAATTTAAAAATGAGAAAAAGTCATTCCCCAAGGTTTTTTGCCATCCGTTTAAGGGGAATTTTTTTTTCCTCGTTTTTTAAAATTTGTATATACTTATTTACCCCTTTTCCATCATTTTATTAAATAGGGAAAAAAAAAAGATAATTTTATCATACATTGTATATTTAAACAAACATTCTTCCATGACATTTGCTTTTTCTTTTTCAAAACGAATAATTTTTCCCCTTTTTTTAAAAAAAAAAGGGAAGCAGAAAAATTTAAACAAGAATTTTTAAAATTTTCATTAAATAGCAACATTTTAAATTGGGATCTAAAAAAACTTTTACTTAATTTCAAGAAAAAAAAAACAACAGAAGCAATTGCTGATTCAGGTAATAAGCCAATGAGTAACTTTTAAGAAACAATAAGTTAACATCAGAAATAAAATACAAAAAAAAAAACATTTTGGGGTCTAAATCTGTCGGATGGAAAAAACACGGATTATATGACAGCTTTTATCAATCTTATAAAATGTTTGATGATGAAAAGCGTATTTCGTGTATTGTATATTGATTCAACTTCTCAGCCATCATTTATCTTTG